GTTTAAGACAACAAGCTGCACTCTGCCTTCTGTTCTCTGCATCAAGACTTTATTACTCCACAGCCCAAATGGGGCCAAGTGGCTGGGTGCCTCAGAGGGCCAGGCACCAGAGGGGGATATGAATTGGATAGATGATGGATTCTTCACCAGAATATTCCTAGAAAAAAAAATAAATTAAAAAATCCAATGAACAAAATAAACAACTGCAGCAGTCAGGGACATAAGGCAAGAAAAAGAAATTCAGGAGATGCTGTTTCTTGGACTTAGATGTTGATTATTTTTTGTGCTGAGATGCACCCAAGCAAGATGTGTCCTTGGCAGTTTCCAAACACCAAGTGAAGCAAGAAGGTGACAGCCCCAAACCCTGCTCTTGCTGCTGCCTGTTTTTTTTTTCCTTTGCTACAGAAAGCAGTAAGAAACATGGATGCAAATGTGAAAATAGAGACAGTTTGATCTTTCATCACCTGGTTGAGCAACTGATACAAGAAGTATTTACTGGCAGCACCTGTAGCAATAGCCCCACATGTTGTAATGCTGGCACACCTTGCAGGATTTGGTCCACAACAACTCTGCAAGTGAAAAGTCCTCTGTGTTGTGTATTAGTGAAAGAGGTCATTATGTTACAGCATAAATATTTACCTATAGTCCTTCCTACAGCTCTTCACAAACAATATTCCCTTCAGAGAATGTCCAGACTTCTGGAACTCAGGATAATATTTATTATTGCAGAGAGAGCAGTAATGGAGGTCCTCCAGCACTTCCATGTTAGAATACTTTGTTTTCTCAGTTATTTTTAAGTCAGTAAAAGCTCACCCATTTGGGCTAAGATTTCCCAGGGAGGGCTGCAGTGTGGCTCCATGTGTGCAAACTCAGTTTCTCCAAGCTGGCCACAGCTCGACAGAGGCTTCAGTTACACCACCTGCTATTTTTTTTCTGCAGAACATGCCTCCTTTCAGCACACAAGGTGGACAGTTTTCAAATAAGGAGTAGCTATTCAGCACTTTCTTTCTTCCTCTTTGGACTTCAGTTTCCTTTCAGAGCACACTGGCAAGGAATTTTTTAATTATGCAGTAAAGAAACCGCAGGTTTCAACCAACCATCTATAAATTAAATAAAGTTACTTTTCACACCCTTAGAATTAATTCAGCTGAGGAAAAAAAGATAAGATTTCATGGGCATCATTTTAAATATAATTTTTGGGGAAGGTACAGCACATTTGTTTTGATGAGCCACACATAATTCTCCAAAATAAGGAACCATTGTACTTAATAACTGCAATGTAATTAAATACTGATTAAAGTTCCTCTTCCAGCATTTGTAAATCCGTCTGCAGTGTAATTGGCATCCCAAATCTTGTGGTGAGCCACAAAAACTATTAAGGATAACTAAGAGAGGAAATTGTAGTTTTGACTTATATTGGTAATCTGCTTTTACTGGCTTACATTTCATGCAGGGCTGTATTAGAGCAGGATTCCTTGGATCTCTGGGATCCAGGCCCTGCAGTCTGAGAAGATGGGGAAATAAGAAGGGCAGAAACCAATTGCTACCATCTGGGTTGGCAAAGCCTTTGTTGGAGAATGAAGATCAAAACCCTAGAATGAGAGAAGACTCACTTCCAAAAGAGCAGCTAGGAAGATGCAAGATTAGGAGGAAAATACTTTAGTATGTGTTATGAAGGAGGAATAGTCTTTTAGGGAGGGATTTGAGGGGCTTAGACTCAACTCTGAGCCTCAGCTCCTATTTTATGTGGTCTTGGCCTAATCACCTCATCTCTATCTCAGCTACCATCTGTAAAATCACTGTAATCTGTCTCATCTGCACTCTCAGACCAAGAGGTTCTCCAGCCAGGCAAGCTGTAGTTTTGTCTACCAGACATGCAGAGACACACCTATGTCTGCTCTGTCCATGCACTGAGCTGGCTGGCTGCAAGCAAGATCTGTCCTGAATCCACAAAGGGACATTCAAACAGTCTTACAGCTGAATTATTACATCTCAGAGAGTCCAGCCAGGGAGCTCATCTCTGCCACGTCTGCTGGCCCCCCACCAGTGTTGGAGGATCCACTAAACTTTTTATTCCTTTGTACAATGCCCCAGATTTTTGCTGGTTTTCTATAATATTATGGAATACAGTGGCTAGTAAAAGTCGAGATTAGTAGGAGTTACATAGCACTAAAAGCAGGCAGAGAGGTTGGATACCACTGAATTTAGTCACAGCTCTCTGTAGGACTTGGGTAAACCATCACCTTATTCTGCTGCAGTCTCCATGTAAATAACACAGGGGTGACAGCTCCTCACTTGCCAGTGGTGTGGCAGAGCTCAGTTACAGTTATACAGAATAACTCCAAAACCTTTCAATAAACTACTGAATATTTCCCAGATATTACTGATTAAATTTCCAGAATGCTCTCATGTCAACATAAATTATATTTGTTCAAGTCCTAGTGTTTCATGAATCATTTAATGCTGTTCTAGATCTAATATCTTAACCACCTTGTCCATGTCTGACACCTGTGTGGTTTTACATGTTTGGTGTTAGCAGTAAAGCTGGAATAAGAGGGGTTTTTCTCCTTTGAAGGAGTGGGAAAATAGAGAAGCCATATGGTTCAAAAAAACCTAATCAAGTTTGTGCTTTCCAGAGCACAAACAAAACAGCTCCATCAATTTGATCTTCGTCGTCAAAACTGACATGCAGTTGGTTTTAAAACACTGCCTCCTTCTCAAAAACCAACAAGGGATTGATTTTCTCTCAACCACAAGTATTTTCACCAAGATGAACACCAGCATCTGGTCATTGCATTAAATGTCTGAGTCCTTTGAAAGAGTAAGTCAGTGATACCTTGTGTTTACTTGCAGAGCTTGACAAGAAAGACACAAGGGGAACATTTGTTTTCAGGGGAAACTGCCCCAGTGAAAAGCAATCGGTTTGAAACGCTACATGAACACAACTGTACCACTAGAGACAGGGGACGTATGTAATCCATCAAAAATGGTCTGAGCAACAAGAATGCACAAGGGCACACTGTGAGACGAGGAAAGAAGGTGCAAAATTGTATAAGTATTGGGTTTAGCCAGTATTTACAAGGATGCGTGGAAGTGAATGATACCTCAGCCCGTTTGTCTGACACAGGTTTAGGTTAAAGTTACCCTTTTCTTGGCACTTGGGGATCAATATTTGTTTGCACAGGGCTCAATCTCACACCCACAGAGGCCAGTGGGAGCTTACCATTTCCTTCCATAGATAGATACCTGATGAGGCTCTAAATAAATAGTGTTTGAGCCCAGGATTTTTCAGTGCCAAATATAATGAAAGCTATTGTTCTTAACACAATTATATTTGATAATCCAATTTCCTTGAGCAACTGAATTGGAGTTTTTGTCCCTATCTTTCCTGAATTCTAGTCCAACTTTTACCCTGTGCCTCCTGGCTTTTTGCTTTCATTTGCTACCAAGAATAGGCAGAGCCTTCTTTGACTTAGAGATGCCTTGATGCCTCTGCCCTGGAATAATGGGATCTGGCTTGAGCTCTATAGAAGATACAGGATGACAGAGGAGATCAAGGACTTTGGTAACCTCCAAACACTGCAAAAGCACAAGTTGGACTGAAGCAGTCTTCTACATCATTCCTTTCTCCACCGCAAAGAGTCTGGAAAGCACAGACTAAAGGAGTCTGTATGTACACAACTCTGTAAGATTATTTCCACTTCACCCTGTTTGTTCAGCGTAGCACAGAGAAATAGATGAATGTGGTCAAGAAAGAGGTGAACGAGGAAAACCAAATCCTCAAACTACAAAACTGTAAAATGACTTCCGCAGTTCTATTCCACTGATGCTACAGGAGACACCAGAGGGTTTCCCTCACAGAAACATGTCTTTCCAGATAAGATATTCACATTCTGGTCCCTTTCTTACACTGGCTGTGCAGCAAAGTGCATTCTCCAAGAATCACCCTGTTATCGGGTGATAATCCTCCATCAAGCAGCACCAAGTGCCCTGAGTCCACAGCAGTTTCCCCTCCTGCTGCAAACAGGAAAAAGGAGAAATAGAACAAAACCAGGTCAAGAGCCAACCAAGCAGGCAGCTGGAAACTGCCCTAAACTCTGTCCTCACTTCCACCTTCACAGAGAAACAGAACTTTGTAGACCAGATGCTCAGGATGCTGATCAGGCAAAAGGTGAGCAAGATATCTGATCTCACCCCCTGCTTTGTAACCCTTCCCTTCACTCCCTCGGCATCCTCTAGCACACTGATTTTTACCCAGCTCTTATTCTTCTCCCAGCCAAGCACCAATGAGCACATTTCTGGGACAGCCTCTGCAGAGGAATCTCCGATTACCCAGAGAAGTGTCTTTGGGAGCCTTTGGGAATGCTCAGCCCAGCAAGTGGCCCCAAAATCTCATTGCTGGGCCAAGCAAGCCTTTTGAAAACAGGCAAAAGCATTGTCAGTGAAACCCATGGTCACTGAGACAGTGTCTGAAGCTTTTTTAATCCTGCCTTCATCAAGAAGATTTCTCAAGATCCGAGCATCTTGCCAGCTCAGAGCTTTGTTTCAACCCAAATATTATTATTCCTGCAGACACCATGCTTTGCAACTGCTCAGCACATGGATCTCCCCGCTGTGCGTTTTCATACGGGTGCTCCAACATTTGTTTTGAGAGGTATCCTGTTCCAATAGCAAACATAAAGATCAGTGTGACCTCTCCTTATCACACAGCTTTTCCTGTGTGGAATTCATTGTGATCTGGACCCCAGTGGCTATTTCATCATTGCTGTTTATGTGTAACCTTTGGCACTCCGCAATCTTATCTGCCTGCAGCCGGCTGCAGCAGAAGATGCGCGGCAGCACAGCCAGCTCTGGCAATCCTCAAACACTGCAAGGGGCCAGCTAAGAGTGGAGTCAGTGAATGATTAGCAAAGCAAATCTGCAATCACTGACAGCTACATGGAAATCAGCTCTCTCTGTCGCCCCAGAGCAGGTTATGGCTTTGCTGCAGCTCTACTCACCGATGACGATGAGGGTGTAGTTCACGTTGGTGCTGCCGAAGCCATTGGTGGCTTTGCAGATGTAGGTCCCTGCATCTTCACTCTCCACCTCTTTGATTTTCAGCCCTTGCTGGAGGATTCGGAACCTCGTCCAGCCGCTGTGGATAGTCCGTCCGTCCTTCATCCACATGGTGAGGGGCGGAGGGTCGCCTTCCACCGGGCACAGGAGCTTGATGGTCCTGCCCAGCCTCACGGACTGGCGGTGAATCACTTTATCAGCGATCCTTGGGGGGCCTAGGAGAGAGCAGAGACAGGAACAGATGTTATGACTTTTGCCAGTGACACAGCACTGATTCAAAGCCGAGTCATCAATCTGGCCATTACACTGACTACTATACAGAATAAAGAGTCGCTTACCAAAAATCACTCACAACCAAGGCTGAAAATGTTGGCAATTACAGAGGGATACAGCAAGACCTGAAGCTGTAGCCTTGTCATCAGCAGCTCACACTAACCCACCAGGGAAGCTTGGTTCTGAGGCTCTATTGCTTTTCCAAAATTTCCAGCATTTTCCTGTCACAAGAAGGAGCCCAACAGACCAACTGTAGAACAGATGTATTTAGTAACAAAACCGTAGTTGTTTTAAAGTTAACACCTATACTGAAGGCAAAATTAGTAACAGGAGTGGTACTTACAACAAAACACTTCCCCACACCCACCAAATGTTTTAATCTTTCATGTTGTATGCACAATAATTCCCTTTAATAGTCACCATAAGGGCTTTATCTGAGACACATAAGCCTCGCACAGAACATTCATTGGGTAGTGCTTCAGTGAAAGATACGGCTTAGCCTGACACATTAACATTGCTTATAGTCCAAAAGAGGATATTTTTATTAATCTCCTTAGCAACCCTGCCGGTTTGACCCACCTGACAAATATTTGCTCTTTGTAAAAGGTGATAATTTCATACAAAGGAAAGTGTCCCTGGAATGTCAGAGTAAAAACAGTTTGCCACATGATAACAGGATGCACTTGGACAGGCCAACAATCAGGAAAAAAGAAGTGATAAAGACTCCAGCAGTGGGAATGGTCTCATAGCTGAATTCCAACTGAAATTCCTTCCCAAGGCTCTGAAAAGTTGAGTCTTTTTCCTGCATCAGCCTTTTCTGCCTTTTCATTAATTGCACAAGTTGTCTACACAGATTGCAATAGCAGTGCTCTTCCCAGAATAATCTATTAATGGGTGTGATAATAAGTGCCCTGCTCTTGCACAAGGACAAAATGTTTTGCTAAGGATTGCTGATGCTGAGTTGCACCCAAAACCCACAAGATGTTTGTGGGATTTGGAACTGTTCCCTCATATTTTACTCCTGTTCCTAGTGTTTTGAAGGATTGGACCCACAGGGGATAAACTACAGGGCTCGTATTTGCACTTCCTCATGACTAATTCCTATTATTTAAAAGTCTGCCTGATTTTTCCTCAGCATGACTAAGGCAGTACATACAGTACAGCTCCTGAATGACTCCAGAGCTGCAGTTACAGTTACTCATGTTGAATCACACCCATGAATTTTGCAGCTTTGCTGGTGAAAAGAAACACTGCTCAAGCTGAGAACAGAGTGGTAAACTAGCTCGAAACTTATTAGAGGATTTAACTAAGAGGCTGGTTAAATCAATGGGTCTTAGACACACTCAGATTTTGATGAACTTCTAATGACCCGAAGTAAGGACCTTGAGAGCACTTATTCTGAAAAAGTCAGAGATAACAAAGATAACAAAGAAGGCAAAGATAACACCCGCCCCTTCACATCTTCTGCAGTCACCTGTGGGACAGCATCTCAGAGGTGATCATATCCTCCCATACTCCAAGGGAACTGGCAAATACACCATGAGAAATACTGCCTGTCCAGGTGTTTTTAAAAATTCCAAACCACCCTTCTATTCCTCACCTTGTGAGATTTCCAACCATCTCTGTGGATGGAGCGATAACCCCAAGACCTTTTGAATGCTGACACAAATTGCATTGCAGAATATTTTAAAGTGAAAATATAAGTAAAAACGATGAGGGGCTGTGTGTGTCGGCTTTGAAAAGGTAGAATTCACAAACACTGAGTGAGAATCCAGCCCTGAATTCAGTTACACTTCCCTACATGATGCCCTCACTCACTGCAAAGGAGCTGAAATGCCCAGACAAGTCCACAGACTTGATGAAATTCTGGGTTGGCCCTTGAAGAGGTTCTTTCTGACCCAGAGCCCTATCAAATCAAGCCAAACTTTAAGAGTAGTTTCACTGCGACCTGCTTGTGAGCCAGGATACCACTTCATGCATATTCAAATGACAAAAACAGATCTATAATTAGTACTGGGGAAAAAATGTTTGGCGCAGGGCAAGCAGGGACAGTGGAGAGAGAGCACCCTCCTCCCAACTTGGAAGGCTGCTGTAGGCTCCTTCAAAATCCCTTTCCTTCCGACATTCAGGTTGACTCCTGATGAATTTTGAGACCTGGAGGAATCAGATAGTTTCCCAGTCACGTCATGTGCTTCTCTGGGGCAGGCTGCACAAGCGGTGCTCCTGATGGCACCAGAGTTGCCTCTGGACCTGTCACATGTTTGGGTCAGTGGTAAGCTTGGTCCTCCCAAATGCCATTTTCCTTTGACTGACCTTTCATTCTGAGGAATTGTTGGATCAGTCCCTGTCACAGGATCTAGCTGCAGACCTTCATGACATTTTGAAAAGGGTGCGTTTCTTAGAGCCATTCTGCCTAAAAACATTAGCGCAGCTCTTCATTAGCTCCTCCAGCAGCTTTCTCAGGAACAGGAATAAAAGTCTTCCCTCACTCTTTTTTCCTGCTGTGAATTTTGCCAGATACAGCATGCACTTCTCAGCAGTGTACAGCTCTAGGCAAAGACGGTAAGGCCTTGTTTCCATTCTTTTAGTGCTGTAAATATTCCCATTTTATTACCTATCATCTTTGCATTAATAACTTTCTGCTCAAACTGTACTCTCTGGAATCAGCGTTTTGATGTAAAAATCAAGCACCATGATAATTATTACAATATCGTAATTTCCTACTGTGTTTACAAAGAACCACAATATAATTCAGCACCTTTACATATGTCAGAGGTTTCAGGTGCCCTGGCAAGCCAATGGTAGCTAGACATCCTGAAGCTGGGCTGTAGCAAGAATAAAATGTTGATATCATCACGGATGTCTGTCTCTCTCATGTACAGGCATTCATTGAATCTTATTTCACTACATATCTGTAGAGCCCCGCCTTGGGACTGCAACAGTGACGGATGAATGCTTTTCCAGTCAAGACACATTTGGCACATCTCACCACTCTGCACCATCAGAGGGTTCAGGGGAGGCAGCAGAGCAGGGTAAGTTTGTTTTGAAAAAAGGCCCTCTCCAATATCCCCTGGGCAATGGGTGCTACTGACACCTCACACACTATCTAGGCAAAAACATCTCCCCCCTCTGAATCCAGATATTAAACCGCTCAGCACCACTCAGGTTCTCTTGGCAATGAATGTCCAGTTCATTATAGCAGTTCCATCTCCTGCTACACGAACAGAGCAAAAAGATGTAGCAGAAGCATGCTGAGTCTGCCGATATCCTGTGTGCAGCACTGTTAGTGACAGGAGCTCCCCACCTTCCAGAACTGGCCCACAATGTGCCAGGGGGTGGCCAGGAGAGCAGAGTGCCCAGTTAGCCCTCCCAAGGCGCTGATTTGGGAGTGTCCCTGGTGTCTGACCCTGCAGGGCTGGGGCACGTCTGTGCTCACAGCTGAGCACGGCGGTGTGGGAGCAGAGCCCAGGACACAGCCCTGCAGGCTGGATACATTTCTACAGCTGCTTAGCGAGGCAAAATCCCAGGAAAGCACCTGCTGCTTCACCTACAGCTGCCAGGGAGGTAAAAACAGGCTGAACCCTGGTTGTAGCCACTGACTTCCCATCCCACACTGCTGCCGGTGTCTGTCCCGTGCTCTAACACAGCATTAAAAGGCAGATGAAATTACTCCTCAAGCAGCCAGTGTCACGATCTCTGCCATTCCTGGACTCCAGCTTTGTGTTGTGTGCGAGCAGAAATTATCTAATTGAGTGCAATACCCTATCCCTGCTCACTGTACGGCTGCTCTTGCCTGGCTTTTAGGCAAGGCAACACCCCAAGAACGTGAGGGATCATACTGAAACCTGAAAACATTTCATTAAACCAGACTGTTAAAACAGTGAGCTCATATATTTACCAATGCAAAATTAATGTTAATATATATAATCTCTCTGTCTAGGGGGAATGAATGCTGTGAACTGCCATGTGCCTGCACTCACGGGCCAGAGCTGCAGACTGGATCCTTTCAAGGTGGAGTAGGAGAGAGCAACTACCCTCTGGCCCTGAGTGTAAATCCTGGAGGAGTCCCTTCACTGTGCTCCCCCCAATTTCCTAGCCATTAGGCAGTGATTCTTGGAAATAGCAGCTTTTTTAAGTGCTGAGAATCTCCAATCTGTGATGTTCCTGGTAAGTAATTGCACAGCAATTACTTCCTGCAGCATTTCTTCATGGGATATGGGAGAAGGGCATGAAAACAAGGCCCTAGGTGGACATTCCATCCAAGATTTTTAGGCTTTTCTGTAGTCAGAAGGGGAGAGGGAACTCTTGCAGTTTTCCACCAGGCAAGGACAGCTCTCTATGGCCATGGGTCACTGCTTTTTAGCCCCATCACAGAGAAGAGGGCGCAGCTGGTTCTGCCTGAACAGAAGGAGTTCTCTCAGAAAGTTAAGCCCCACCTCAACATAAGCCCAGTGAGGGCAGGTTTTCATAAGTCTCCCTTGCCCTCAACTCAATAATTTGAGGGAATAAGTTCTTAATACTCTGGCTGAGGGAGAAGGGTGGGATTTGACATCTGCGGATGTGACTCGGGAAGAAGTGATGAGAATGCAGCTGCCTCCCCCCCGTGCTTCGTTGTTATTCTTTCTCCAAATACAAACTAAATATAACTTTGCCCCATAACATTCAAATCATTTTAGTTACTAGCAGGGATCATGCCTGGAGTTCCAAGGGCCAGGGTGCAATCACGCTTAAAATATAATTTAAACAATCCAGAACCTACATTTTCCACAAAGTTATTTTCTTGCTTGCAGTTTCCCCATCTGCAAATACATATAAACACAACCAGAAAGAAACCAACAAGCCCAGCCAGATGCCAAGTTTTCTGTTCAAGATCATATAAACCCAGTCAAACATTAACAAGGAAATGCTGTGATCACCTCATTTGTTTTAAATATTTCTGCTC